GTCTCACCAAATGCTGTCTTATGCAGCTGTATGGCAGTCTTCGTGACCGACTCATTCGCATCGTGATACGACGAACATGGTGTCAGGGCAACCTCGGTGATAACATAGACAGGAGAGCCCCGGATGACGGCGACTTGCTGGCGACGCGTGATGGAGACGAGGTAGCTGAAGCGCGAGAGGGTAACCAGTCCTATAGATGGTCCAGTAGCATCAGTATCTTTCCAGGCGAACCAAAACTCGGCTTCTCAAGGGGCGATCTTTAGCGGGCGCAAAGGACATACCAACAATGCCAAAAGCTTCGAACGAAGAATGTGGCTTTTCAGTGTCCGGGAGAGCATCTCGGGGTACAAATGTTATGGCAGCATCTCCGTAGCGTATTTTCACAGGAGAGGGTCGTTGCTCTTTCTTGACTGCAAGAGGTTGGACGATGAGGCCATCCACGGCGGCGGCTATAAGCACTTTGCGCGCGAGTGATGGCATCCTTACGATGTCCGTTCTGGGATGGATCCGAAGCAATTTCGGAGTAAGTCACAAGAAAGGGTCGAATTATCAGATCAGACCATATCTATGAACAGTGTAGTGTGTATAGGGAACTGGCTTATGGTGTATAGTTTAGAAAGAATTAGTCAGTGGCTGGGAGAGAATCGTGGTTTCGGATCGAGGACCAAATGAAGACCCATCTCAGATGATGATGTCGTTTGGATGTGCGTGGTAGGTACCCAAGTTAGCTAGACTTAATGGAAGCTACTGTTGGCGGGGCACTTGCCGCATGCGCAATGCGTAACGCGCTGCGGGAGCCCTTTTGAGCGCGTACTACCACATGTACATATGTGAAGCGCACTTGCTACTGTTTAATTGAGCATGACGTATGGCCATGGTTTTCTGGTTTCCTGGGCGGTATCGGAGGACACACATAATTGAACTGCAGCTGCCAAATCGTGCAATAACCTTCCTCCCCAAGAACAAGTTGAATTCGCCCTTTCGGGGTTTTTTGCATTTTTTCCTTGACTACATTCCTCGCTGGACTACAATGTCTCCAGTATCGTTTCCAGGCAAGGCCAAAAAAACTTATGATGAGTAGCAGAGAGGTCGTCAAGTCTGTGGCCCACTCCACTACGAAACGGCGAAGGTCTGGTTGGCTACGAGCAAATTGACTCCCCTCCCATTACGACCCTCCGACCCGTCTTACCTTAAATATGCAGCTGTTTTCAATTCCATCATTAAGCAAACCTACCTGATTTGTTTCTGTTCTGTTCTTCATTGGAGAGAGACGGACAGTCATCATTCAATAATTCCAAGATATATGAAGGTCGCTGAATAGACACTGCCTGAATGGATATTTCGAAAGGTTTCATTATTTTTTTTGTCGTATTTTTGTTGTTAAATTCTTCTTCGGCCTGGTTGTCCAAAGACTAAATGCCTAGCCCAACTCATATAGCCTTGTCCGTCCCACTCGCAGGCCAACATCAGCAGCAGTCGGCATGATAGCACCAATGCCGTTGCTGCCACTACTGGAGTAGGTAGGTACCAGAAGAGCCCATATCGAATTCCGAGCCCAAATGCTCTAGATAGCCAGCCTCTCGACCTTGTCCTTGAGAGCGCGGATCTGGCCCATCAGATCGGAAGCCTCGTTGGACGTGATGGCAGCAGCAATGACAGCGCGGGAGACACCGCAAGCGCGGCCAAGGGCGACCTTGGAGGGGACGTAAACGTAGGGGGTGTTCTTGTCCTCGGACAGGAGAGGGATGTGCAGGAGAATGGCCAGGGGCGTCGTGTCGGCGGCAAGGACAACAACCTATAGTGAGTCAGACCTGTCAGTTCTCCGTGTAGTGATACAGGAAAGGGTTCTTGTGAGGGTAAAGCACTGACCTCGGCGGTTCCACGAGACAGAGACTTGGTAGCCTCGTTGGCACCCTTCTTGAGCTGGCGGTAGTGGCTGGCAGACTGGATGAGGTCCAGGATTTCCTACACATTTCTGTTAGTTCATGTGATGCCAGCAGGCTGAATTGAGATGCGACATACCTGGGTCATGGCAGCATCAGCGATGGGCCAGGCGGCGCCTTCGTTAGGGTTAGACATCTTGGCTGGTGGGTTGAGTAGTTGTTGAGTATGTAACAGGGTTCCTTTCCGTAGATCGCCCTGTGTCTTGACGGGAGAATTAGGTGGAGTTGGGTTGCGTGATGGTATATCAAAGAGTTGGAACTCAATTCCGGCCGAGATCGAAATATTTGACGGCAAGTGGGTCCAGAGTCCGATAAGCCGATAGGAGATTTAGTTGTTGCGATTACCGAACAGCCTCGAGGCAGCCGACCAGTCGAGCTTCCGCGCTAACCTGGCACGCACTAGCGCGCTGATTCGCTTACTTGGCCTGTGCTCTTATTCTTAGTCAGGAGCTTCAGTGGGCACTGACCACTGATCCGCTGCCGCAACGAAGCTCAGAGCAAAACCTTGCCCCAATCAAAAGGGAAACCTGGAAACACTACCTCGCCAACTCCAGCCGTCACACCTCTCATCATCCCAGGCCAAACCACAGCTACCACTTCTCGCCGCCCCAAACCACTTCCACGATTTCGAGCTTCCATCACGACATAGTCGCCATCTCGAGTCCATCTCACCTTCGTACTCTCATTCCACATAGTCTCTTTCTAGACATTCCCTTCCCACAACCGTCAAAATGTCGACAGATCTCTGGTACGTCAGCCCTCGATGCCTTCGAGCTCCCCTACCATCCGTCGAAGCTTAATCTCTGGTTGCGATCATCCTCCACCACCACTCTTCAGCCTCACATAAGCTCAAGCTCCTTTGAATCATCAAGCTGACCATCATGACTCTACAGCCCCGTCTACGCGGTTAGTCCTGCCCCGCCGATGCCTGTTCACTATCGTCATCATCCCGAGCTCCACCGACCCGAAACGACCCGCGAGATATGACCACCGTCGAGTCACAATGCTAACACAAGCTCTAGCCCTTCTTCGGTGCCATGGGCTGCACAGCTGCCATCGTCTTCACATGTCTGGGAGCGTCTTACGGTACCGCCAAGTCTGGTGTGGGTATCGCGGCGATGGGTGTCCTGCGACCTGACCTTATCGTGAAGAGTACGTCACCGTTAAACACCACGACCCTTCCCACATCATACATGCTCACGAACTATTTATAGACATTGTCCCCGTCATTATGGCTGGTATCATTGGTATCTACGGTCTCGTCGTCTCCGTGCTGATCTCTGATGGTCTCAAACAAACCGACTACCCCCTGTTCACTGGTTTCATCCAGCTCGGCGCGGGTCTGGCTGTCGGTCTGGCTGGTCTTGCTGCTGGTTTCGCTATTGGTATTGTTGGTGACGCTGGTGTGCGCGGTACCGCTCAGCAGCCCAGGCTCTTCGTCGGCATGATTCTGATTCTCATTTTCGCTGAAGTCTTGGGTGAGTTATTTTTAGCAACACTGCTGCCTCTCCTCCCCCCGGCCGATGTCAAACCATCTTGTAAGCTAACCGGAACATGCAGGTCTGTACGGCTTGATCGTCGCGCTGCTCATGAACTCTAAGGCCGCGCTGAACGTTTCTTGCTAAACGCCTAAATGGCGACCTCGATCGCGGATACGACTCGGGATGGGCTGGCAATCGAGGCCCCGAAAGGGAGTCTACCCAAGGCGCATCGGTACGACACATCGGGTCGAATACTATCCACGGTCAGCTTGGAACGCGAAATGTTCAACATGCTCCTGGAATCTCAGGTGCATCTGGTCTTGGCCGGAAATGAAACGATTGGAACGAAAACCATGGATGATGACAAGACCATCGTTCGAAGCCGACATATACATGTATCATTGTCACATTAGGCTATGACTCGGAAGCATTGGTTTTTTGTCATAGATGTGGATGGGGGGCGGAAGATTGTAGTCTAGGATGGGAGTAATGTTGCTTGGTTTCCTGCGCTTTCTGGGTTCATTTGGGTGCATCACAACATCATTTGTTTGCATTGTATCATTACGACATCATGATGTCCCAGCTTCTCGGTGACTTGAAAATTTACTTGAACACAGTTGAAAGCCCAATGATCCATCAGGAGGCATTTGTGGACGAAACAGTCTCCATCTGTCATCGCCTCTACGCACAAGGCCTGTCACACTTGATAAGGCACTTGAAAACATACACAGGCGGCAGTACTCAGCGGCATGAGATGACTGTGGAACCCTACCAGTCTTTCTACGCGTATCCCCGCCTCGAAGAAGTTACAGATGGAAGATATACGAGAATGCTAGCCTGCTGAGAAGCACAGTTGCCTCCAGCATACAGCCCGCTGCACGAGAATTGGACCAAGAGTTCCATCTCGGGTCACATATATTGGGCTATCAAATCCCCCACTGGAGTGAGGACCCCCGTGGACTACTTCAGGCTGTGGCCTCTTGATATATGCCTCGAGCGAATGAAGTCCTTGGTCGAGAATAGCTTGCACTGCGTTTCTTTCAGCCGTCCGCTTACACTCTCAACGCGCCATTCTGCGACATGCAATGCCTTCATTCATGCTAGTACTGATTACCTATACTCCGAAGCTTCATGGTGACGCCCAAAGGGCCACCGTGAGGGGGCTTGCCAAACAGTGATTGCGGACAATTTCCGCTGGTGTATGTAAAAGGAACACAGAAGTTCTGTCCGTTTCGGTACCCTGCCTGGTAGATGACGGTATATCGAGAGTCCGTGACACATATCACTCACCTCTTGAGCCCTTAGAATGCTCCCCTTCCGCCAACAAGGACCATACTTTCACCTTCATCTACTACACCTACCACATTTACTACATACGCTACACTGACTATATCTGCTATATCTGTTATACATATAAATGCAGGATCAGACGACAGAATAGCCCTACCTTTTTGAAATGCCCTACCTGCTTAATAGACTTCGCCGCTTTTAACTTACACGCGCCGATTAGCATGGATGTAATACTTCCACCTATATAATTCCATCCAGACGATTCATTTTCATCCAATAAGAAACAGCGCCAGTGGTTTAGCGGTAAAATCCATCGTTGCCAAGTCATGTGATCAAACACGTTACTAGCAGTTTCGATGGGCCCCCGGTTCGACTCCGGGCTGGCGCATTCACTTTTTGCAGTTTTTCTCATTTTATGTTTACCTCCTTTCCCCCTTTTTTTTGTTGTTCCCATCGTGGGCTTCTTCTGGCAAAGGTCCGGTGTTCGTGGACGACGCGCGCGGTAGCTTCGCCACAAGGCTATGGGAATTCCAACGATAACTGTCTACGGGCTGCTTGTAACAGTAGCGTAGCTCCCCAGCGTTGTCATATTATTGGAGAGCACAAGATATGGGTTACGAGTGCTTGCGAGGGCGAGCTGGATATATTGTCGTTGTATGCTTTGCTATGGAACCCTTTTTCTGTTGGTAGTCAGTGAATCTGCATGGTAATTCCAGATATCGAGAGATATAATCGAGCATAGGTGATCCGGAGGTTTACTAGAGCGATCTGCGCCAACCCAACTACTATCTCCCGTGATTACTGCTTATATAAGGACACCCATAAGACAAGTATATTGGCTATATTAGTGCTATAGGAACTTTCGAAGCTGTTATAGCCTCATTCTAGGTACCCAGGTAGGCTTGGGGATTGGCCCGTTTTCAACTCAACTTCACCGAGTACTTGATGCCCACGGGAACATGTCTGTTTATTAAAGGGAATGAGCTATCTTCTCTCTGTCTTTCTTCCACATAGGTAATATGATCAGCACAAAGGCCCATCCCCATTCCCCTCCCTCCAGCTCCCGCGAAACAGATGCCTCACCACCGCCGTCTCCGGGACCCCGTCCTCGACCCTCGTAGCCCCAGAGTGCTCCATCCCGCTCGCAAACGCATCAACAGGAAGGACGAGCACGTCCCCCACAAGCCTCGGCGCCCTCAGCCCCGACAGCTCGCTCAGCTCCCCCGACCACGCCGGCCGCCCGCCGCCGGCGCCCCGCATGTGCGCGAGCAGGACCTCCGTCCAGGCCGCAGGCCCCGTGATGCCGAGCACGTCCTGCTCCGACAGGACCACCCTCCGCAGCGTCGGCGCGCCCCAGAGGGCCCGGTGGCCCGCCAGCGTGGCCAGGGCGCGGGATATCATGGCCTTGAAGACGGGGTGTCCCGGGGCCGCGGCCACGATGGTCCACTGGCAGAACTGCACCGGGTGTAGCACGCCCTTCGGCCTCGGCCTCTGCCTGCTCCTCCCCTCTGCCTGGTCGCCTCCCTCACCGTCCGGGTCCGGGTCCCGGTCCGGGTGCGACGCGAGCTCGTCCCACTCCACGCCTACCACCAGCCTCGCCCCGCGGTCGAGCCAGTACCCCCACGGCAGCCAGTCATCGATCCCTCGCAGCGGCACCGTGTCCAGGTCGGTGTACACGCCGCCCTCGGCCCGGAGGAGCATGTACCGGATGAGGTCGGCGCGGATGCCTCTGTTCTTCAGCTCGGCCAGGGCCTCTGAGAGGCGGTTGTTAGTATCATCTTCGTCTTCGTCGTCACCACCACCAACAACAACATCATCATCATCATCCCGGTGCTGCTGCTGCTCCTCCAACGCGGCGGCGAAGGCGGCGGCCGTCGAGTCCGTGTGTAGGGTGTGCGCCCAGCCTGGGTTGGAAGTGATCCAGGGCTGGGCGCAGACCCGCGCGGGCTGGACCCTGCTGTCGCCTGTGACTTGCCAGATCTTCTTGCTCGGGATGGTGTGCGAGTGGTGGTGGTGGTGGTGGTGGCCTTTTGGCTCGCCGCCGTGCTGGCTGTCGTCCTTGTCGTTTGAGCCTGTGCGTTGTTTATAGTAGAGTATGGCGAGGATCATTAGTGCTGCTGCCCATGTCAGCGCCGCGAGGAGCCGTCGGCGGCGGTGTCCTCGCATAGGTGGCATGAGGAGTTTATGACTTTCGTGTCAAGTTGTCCATGCCGCTGATGGTTTAGACCTTCCGAAGGGTCTGTAGATAAGCACGTACTTCACCTAGTTGAACTCCTCGGAAAAGCGGCAAGGCTCATGCTATATGAGCTTACACTATCTATTGCTACATTGACACGCGTCGTCCTTATAAAGCACGGATCACCTTACAGGGATGGAGGACGAAGTTGAGTCGCTGAATCCATGCCCAGTACGTCTCAGTAAGACATCGTTGTTTAATTATTCGCGACCTACGGAACCCTTGAGACGCCCTGTCATCATGAAAAGGAATACTCCTACCCATAGAGCCTGCATGCGAACCCAACCTCCAAGAGAGCCAACAATCCATCACCAAAAAGTCGATTCTGGTGCTCCCGGGGACAAAACATGTCGTAAGAGAGCAGCAACTCATTCATACACGCATGTAAATAACCGAACGCGATACTCTGTCCCTTTTCCCACATCGCAGCCCGACTGCCGTCCAGAAGCCATCGACGTCAAGGTTGGCATCGAACACTTAGCGCCTCTGCTTCTTCTTCGCCTTGCTACGCTCCTCCTCCTCACGACCATCTTCGCGATCTCGCTTCTTTGCCTTGCGCTCGAGCTCATCCCAGTCATCTCCCTCGTCCTCATCGCTCATGTCATCCTCCTCACTAGCCTCGGCGGAAGCGTTGGAGTCGAAGTCGGAACCCTCCTCGCTGGATTCAGAAGCGTCCTCGAGCTCGCTCTCACTGATCTCAAAGTTGCTCTCTTCCTCTTCCTCGTCGGACCCACCCTCCTCGTCCGAGTCGTTGCCCAGGACGGACCAACCGCCGTCGGCAAAGAACTGGTGCGTGTCGGCGGTGACAGTCTTCATGATGGTAGGCCAGTTCAGGTTGAGGGGACCTTCGTTGAAGGCGATATCCGAAGAGTCGAGGAAGTCCTTCACGTCTTCGAGCGAATCCATAGGAATGGTGTTGACGTGGTAGGGCGGTCGTGTGAAGTCCTTGAAAATGAAGACAAGATCGAAGTTCTTCAGGCCGAACTGAACACGCTCAAGATGTGCGATCTCAATGTCCTCCAACGTGATTACCATGAAGGGTGGCTCCGTAAGCTGGATCAGACACTCTGTGGTTGGCTGGATGTAGACGTTGCTGCGGAATGGAACGCCGTGGAAGCCAAGGTCTCTTATGGGCATGTCCACCTCTATGTTCTCGTTCCGGCCAGCCTCGGCTATCTTCTCGGCGAAGCCCTTGAACAGGCGATCGAGTTCTGCACGTCGGCGCCGCTCTTCCTGTTCAGCCTCGAACTCGTCCTCATCGCCATATCGGTACTTTCGCTTTCGGTTGCCTGTCTCGTCAAACTGAATATCCGTGGCCTCACGATAGAATTGGACATCCTTCGTCTTCTTCTTGTTGCCGACGATGATCGGGTCCTTGAGATGAATATGGATGATAACGATAAGTTCATGCTCACAGGGCTGGAAGAACAAGTGGCGAACGTTGGAGAATAGGATGTCGACTCTGTGGTGTGGGTTCAGTGGTGACTGGTATCGAATACCGTTTTGGTGTATCTCAACCTTGCCAGGTACTCGCTTGCCCTCCATGGCCGGGCGTAGGAAGACATTATCCAGAACAGCCGGGCGACGGTCTGAGGCAGGTTAGTATGTGCATCATGATAACAGGATGATCTGACCTACTTCGAATCTCGACAAGTTTGTCCTGTTCCACGACGTCCTCCATATCTTTCTTCTCCTGCTCCTTCTTCGTTACGTCTCGCTTCATGTTGGAGATTTGGTTCGCTATCTCCGTGTATCGCTCACCGTCCGTCGAACGGAACGTCAAACTTCTGACGAAGTGCGCGGTCGCGTCTTCGAAGGGCTGATCTTCTCTCCTGCCGACACCCTGGCCAGGGGACAAGAAGTTGATGCGGAGGTAAGACCACTCGCCCTCGTCGCTCTTGCTGGCATTCTTGATAGTCGCTATGTGGAACGGAACAGGGCGGCCCATGACAGGAAGGATAATGGTCGAGTTCTTCAGATCAACGACAATACTCAAGTCGCGAACCTTGGCCGGGAACTGGTTGTCACGCTTGTACGACTCGAAGCGCTTGAACTTCTTGACCTCGGTGCCGTTCTGATCACCCAAGGACTCAGCAAATCTGGCAAGACCCTCCTTCTGTTTCTTGGCTGCCAATTCCTTTTGGTGCTCTTTGCGTCTCTTCTCAGCCTCCTCGTCCTTCTCATGAGCACGTCCTGACCGCAACCGAGAGCTGGTTATGTTCTTGGTAGCCACAGCACCGACACGAGAGTCCTTCTTTTCCTTCTTGGAAGGGGCCGGCTCCTCCTCATCGTCCTTGAAGAAGAACGAAGTGGAATCGGGGTCAGAGGCAGCCTCCCCGGTGAAGTTGACTGTGCCCTCGCCGGTCACTCGAATGGTGTCTGTTACGATAAGGGAGTAGGTCTTGCTGTTCTTGTCCTGCGGTTGAGGATTCTCGAGATCTTGGAAACCTGTGGAGATGCAGAGCGTAGTTCCATCCTTCATGACACGGGTATTCTTGGCGTTCAGGATCAAAGTGGTATCCTTGCTCTCCAGCCCGATGCCGTATCCAATGTTCTTCAGGAAATGCTTCTCAAGCTCCGGCTTCTTGCTCCGAATGTAGCTCAGGGCCTTGTTGTAGATGTCCTTCGCCATAGCGCCATCCCGAATCTCCTTCAATATCAAGTTGTGGACCGCAAGGAGGAACCTGTAATTAGATTCCTGTGTTTTGTTGGGGTCCACCATGTATGTTCGGGCGATGGTTGAGCAATACGACTTGTAGCGTAGGCCCATACCGGCAACGATAACACCTGCATGAAGGTTGTCCTCGCTGGGCTCGGCCTGCATCTTGAGGTCGAACTTGCCGCCACTGTACACGGCTGGGCCAATGACCCAATCGAGTTGTTGGGGGTCGAAATCGGGAGGGAGCTTGCCGGAAGCAGGCAACTTGACCGTCTTCCAGAACTTCTCGTCGTCAAGCTTCCCATCGACCTTATCAGCCAAAACGTGGTGCTTGACCTTCTTCTCCTGGTCAAGAATGTTGGACATCTCGTCCAGAAAGTATGAGTGCATAAGCGCAACGCAAGCCTTGGACGAGTTCCTCACTGCACGGAGCTCCGCCTCGTCCTTGGCTGAAAAGGCAGCGGCGGAAAGCGCTTGGGTGATATCGACCTCC